TCGATTAGTTTGAGGGCAATGGATGCCCACGTAGATCTATCCACAGATGTTTAAACAACAAACCTACAAATATGGAGCCTATATCAAATGCAAGAAAAGGGGTCGTTCTGCCGTATGTGAAGAATATATCTGAAATAACTTCTAGATTGCTCAAACATCACCGCATCTTGGTGGCTCACAATCCAACAGCTACTTTGGAAGAAGAATACTGTCCACTTCAAAGAACAACCGAGAATCACAAGAACGAAAAAAGGTCCTGTATAAAATAAATTACAATAATTTTGAAATGTACTATGTAGGACAAACAGGAAGAAAACTATCCACACGGATACAAGAATATCAACGGGGTTGTAAAATACCTTTTGCATGGTCACTTGTCTTAGCGCATGTGGATTTGTAGGGGCATAGCTTCAAAAGGAACGAAACAGCGATTTTAGCTCAAGCCGCCACACGGAAAGGAAGATAACTTCTTAAAAGCATGGTACTCCTCTAATAGTTCTATCAACATGCATTTCGACATCGAGCCCGAGTACCAACAGGTCAGAAAGAAAGATCTCTGGCGAATAGAAAGACATAGTTCAGCCGCGAAAGAGAATGGCAAATCGAAATTGCCACTTTCAATAGTTAACTGCCCGTCGATCAAGGACGGGCGATTCCATAAGCAGGATTTTACACTGCACATCACCGCATTGATGATGCCCCCACTTATGGCGGCGAAAGGTGTGCAGTCATTTTGGCAAGCTCGGAGAACCGATCAACATGTGACCAACCAAGCGGAGCTACCAGTGTTTCAAGTTATTTCGAACGGAAGGACGTGTAAGTGTTGACGAAGGAAATTAAGCATCTGGGTGCACAGACAAACGTAAATACGGGTAAACCAATTAGTAACTCATTTATTTAGAGGAAACATCTCCAAGAAAGTGTATGATCGCTCAGACAAACATCAGATGCGCAATGAAGTGAGCAGGTAAACAAAGTTGAATTTTGTCCCTTAATGTGGAATTAGATAAGTAAGTCATTAGGTTGTTTAAAGTGTAGGCTCATATGCAGGTAAAGGAATGAATGGTTAGTCAACTGGGCAGTTGCACAAGTAAGTTGCTGTAAAGTCTTGATACTACTCACTTTTGTTAAATAGGTCATTCGTTAGGTGCGTTTGGCAGTAAATAGCCTAATAACAATGGCCGCTAGTAACCATATAAGCGTTAGAGACTCCCATGTTTAATTCACTTAAACATACATTAGGAAAGCGCGCAGAGGCATATCTTTTAACAGACGAACTAGACGAGGGGAATACTTAACTATAGGTCACTCACGGTAAGGGATATAGGATGAACACTTGCGTATAACCTCAGGTAAGCGTCTGTTGTGTGCATATTTAACTTAGTTGTTGGATTACCACGTGGCTAAGGAGAACGCAATCAACCGGCTTCTACTTTGCGAACAAGTATGCCAGCGTTCACAGCATATTTGCCTTTCCAATCATTTAGTCAAAGATGTTTTAGCGTGTGGTTAAATTGCCTTAATAAAGATGATAACAAATGACAATAGTAATACTAGTGGTTATATTTCGCATTAAGTGAGAAACTGTCCGTATCTAGCTCGGATTATGTATGCACGGGGAATACTGTACGCTTGCACGGGCAATATACAATTGCGTGATTGTCTCTCTTTGTTTTTCTGCCAATGCGTATGTCTCAAATTGCTGGTTTACCTTCAATGTGAGGACATTGTTGCTCTGTGAGAACATTGTAGACATTGATTGCAGCTTGTATTGCTTGAATTTTTCCAGGATAAGAAATGATAAAATAGCGTGTCAGCTGTACGCCGTAACGGCGCCTCGTTGCCGCGCGACCACCATCAGTCGCGCGCGGGCCGAGTATACCGCGAGGAGGCCCACCCCCACGCGGATTCGAACCGGTGACCTTATGTTTGCAAACCAAACGTGCAGACCACTCGACCACCGGCCGACGAATTTTTCCATCCTAACCATCAAATGTTAATTTGGCCCTCGTTAAGTAGATCCTCAGGCATTCCCAATCACGAAAACGAGATCATAACTGCTTACATGTCTAGGTTGCTTATTGCACGTGGATGGTGCGTTCTATCAGATTCGTGGCTAAACGATCAACCCAGAGGTCACGGAAGAACACATAAAAAAGCTAGCAAATATTTATTGGGCGATCGCTGAGGTCACTAAAGCCAAAAATAAGGTACCAGGAGAGAGCTAGCAAGGGAGAATTTGCATGTGTGTCGTGTGTGAGGACAAGGGCGTGTCAGCAGATCACGTCCGATTTGTCGCAGTACAAATGCCAGCGTGTTGCGTGACGCAAACAAACGGGAACGGCATTCAAACAAACAAACTACTTAATTTCCTAATACATAAGAAAACTATCATTTTGGAATATTTTATGCTAATGCAGGCGGTCATATGGGAGAGTCTCCAGGTCACTACAGGCGTCCCAGCTTTCTTCGAAATGATTGTTGCACAGCCTCAGACAACCTGGTTCTGCTTGTAAACTGATTCCACAGAGCAGCTTATCTACTTAGAAAAAAGTTAGATTACATATTTATCCTGCATTCTGGTATAACCAGAGTAAAGTCTTTGTTACCAAGGTCTCGAGTTGGGCTGTGCTACTTTTTTAACGTGGGCACATTGAAGTAAGCTTTACAGTAAGTCCAAGAATGCAGCAGTGTCAAGTTATGTTTGAATCTTCGCAGCCCAAGCGGATCGAGGTAGTGTTGCCTGCACAGTTCCCGAAGGTACTTATTGTATATTATGTTTAATAGACTTTTTACAAACGCTCCTTGTAGGCTTCCTTTAGTTACTCTGTTAGGTTTTCGAGTAATAGGTGGGTCAAACAATGAGACATTTGTCAGCTAGAAAAAAGGCGCACAACCGAACCTTAGGAGAAGCCAGCGCGTACAAACTATGTCCTCGGTACACGCCAAGGACGAAAGACGCACTTTTGGTCGGAATGACACAAAGATTCGATACATGAAGGAATAACGAAATAAAACAAGCTTTGGGATTTGTAGGAAGTGCAGCTCCTGCTATCAAGGTTATTGCTGCTTGTACAGCTACCAACGTCAATACGCATTGAAGATGTCTCTTCGATTGATGATGAAGCGTCTGTGTTCGATACATTCACTTTTGCAAGGCAACCAGCGGCAAACTGCACAACCCGATCTATGAATATTTCAACTCATTCCACAAGAGAACGGTCGCTTACAAAAACACAAAGTAAATACAGGCACGTGAAAGGAAGAGCATACGGAACTATGTTCTTCGGCGCATGTGAACGCGGCACCACTCAACTTGCGAGGATCCATTCCACATCGAAACCATCTGCATACAGACTAGTAGCATTAACTTGAAAAGCATTAAATAAAAAATGGGAGGCCAATTTAAATGCAACGCTGCGACTAACGCCTAGAAGTCAGCGATATAGGATTGCGGACAGACTAGGAACAAAATCTCTCATCATTGCGCACGGCAGCTGCCACATCAAATGCTGACGAAATACCAGCAACCAAATTAAGGAGCTAGCAAGTGAATCAGTATCAATACAATGGACAGTGTTTCAATAATTGCATCCTCTCAATTTTTGTGTTAACTTTGTTTGTGGGACGTAACGTAATATTTAATAGTTGTCCGGGAACTGAATTTTTGACTCACCTACCTACCTCCAGGGAGTAGTGTTTCAGTATAATGGCTAATTACCGGAAACAGTATTTTCTGTCTATTCATAAGCGACCACGTAACAAAGGATTTAACGCTGTTTATCTTGGCACATCGACAATTAGGTAAGTTGTATTTTTAAGGCATAGTCCGTCTAATCCAACCTAACCTTTTCCCTGTTTAACAGCGGCATGATGAAGAGCTGCCTTAGAGAAAATCTGGTGATGTTGCCCACTAGAATGTCAAGGATCACACTTCACCCAGCTCTGTTGAGTCCAAAGGAGGACGAAACCGGTTACGGGGTGTCAGTGCTTGGAAGAGCAACACCGAAACGCCAATTCGGATACGGTCCAGGTGATCGGAATGGCCGAAGTCTCATCAGAGCTTGGTTGCCGCAATCCAACCAGGAGACGAGTACTCCATAACCAACTTTAGGGTAACCCATTAATTTCGACACATGTTACTTTTGAAGTATAAATAAATAAATGAAAGAGTAAGGGTCATCTCATTTTAATTGCAATGAGAAAGGGAGAAATGTTGGCAGAGCAACTGATAGACAAGAAGAAGTTCAACCAGTTTCTGAGGTTCACATTGAGGAATTCTGACCAGATTCCTACCAAGATGTTTTGAAAATGAGAGATTTATGCTTGTAAACCCTTTTCTCCACTTTGGTTGACTGCCTCGAATCACGTCCACAGTCTAACCATGCAAACCTTGTCCAACACTAGTAGAAGTCATCTAGTTTGACTTCAGCTCACTTTTTGGACAAGGCTTGAACTTGACATTGAGAGCTTCAAGTGGAGAGGATTCAATTCTGTAGACATATCAGACCACCACGGTATCGGTAACATCAAGTTGAAGAGCCACTGGTAATAGAAAAGATGACGGGGAAACCTGGAGGTGTCCTTAACGACTTAACTGAACTTCGGTGTGGAAACAAACCAGCATCACTTGTCCGTCTCTCTACACAGATATTGACTGTTTCTCAGTAAGTGATGAGCGAGAAAGAATACCGTTGATACTAAATGTACAGATCGCTAACCCTCCAAAAGGGTTCCGATTAACCGATTGCAGGATGGTAACAAGAATTCCCTGTTCTTGTATCCTTAACTGTGTCTGGTGGTTGAATGGGGACACTTGCAAAATGAGTGACAGAAAACGATACTTGCCTGTTAATTTATGTAAAGCCGGTGTCAGACAACCACACACGCACATCGCTCATGTTTTATGGAGGAACCACTCCAAACTGGAGGCAGGATCCAGACGCATGTAGTTGTGGTGTCGGAGGAGGTGAAGGAATACACACAATCCTTCCACTTACCCTCAATGTATGGTCCTGTATCTGGGTGTTCTCGTACCCGTAGAGGCACTTTATCTTCCATTTCACAGGGATCAATGAGCAAATCGCGCACTTTTTCATTATAAATTTCCAAAATGCTGCATAAAATGAGAAAAAGTGAAACAACTATTACACTGCATTGCATTCATTGCTGTGGTTAGGTTTGCGTAAAACGTCGACGGTTCGGTGTGTTTGTGTGCAACACGAAGCGATGGCAAACGTCATTAGTGATTCCAAGTGTGGAGCCGACACATAGTGACTTGAGCGTCTATGGTTACCAATAGTTACTGCTAGTCAAGCATGCTTGACTGATCTGATTCTCGCTGTGGCGGAACGACAAGGCTGCACCTGCGCGAGCGAGCGCGTTTGCGTTCGTGCGTGCATGACTCAGAAGAAGTGTTCAAGTTGGTGCAATAAGCTAATAAATCGTTGGGATAGAACACTTTTATCAAGACTAAAAACATCACGATGTGTAATAACGCGTCGAAAGGTAGCCACAAAGGGAGACGTTAAAGTAAAAGTTGTCTCATCAAAATATGGTGAGGTAGCATTTTCGGTATATTTAAAACTAATTGGTTTCTTGGTCGCGCGAGGGATTGACGGTATTCCTCAAAGTAGAATTCAATTCAACCAATTTATACAAGCGCGAATTGCGGCGAGGTTCAAGTAGATCAGCGAAATTTACGACGCGGGCTAAGAGTATCACAGATTTTTCAAGACATATAAAGCATATCATTTGCAACCTCGAATTAGTAACATTCAGGAATGGGGTTCCGGATGAAGAGAAATGTTCTCCATTGGAACTACATGGAAATAAGGAAAATCGCTGTACAACTAGAAGCGCAAATTTCCACCTTGAAAACAACTGTTCTTAGAGACGAGGCGATGTACAGAATGTAATTATGTGTGGCATTACGATTGGCCTAGTTTCGAAAACAGAAGTCACCATGGTTAGAACCCTGGGTGCACTGACCCCACAATTGGTTAGGCCAAAAGGCTGTCAAAAAGTGAGGAACAAAACCGAGTATCTTCACAACTCTGTAGCTCAAATTGGGAAAATTTCGGCGTATGAAATCTGTAGTGGACTGCGGTTCGCTTGACTTTACCACGGTACCGTGTCAAATTAGCAAATCCAAGAGGCGCAACGCATTGCAGAAAAGCCCGCTAGGAAACAATAGTCGCAGATGCACTGGTGTGATTTTGATCAAAACAACTTGTGTTAACGATTTTACGCGCTAGCACAAAATGTATAAAACCACTCTATTAAAAGGTGGGAATCTTTTCCTAAGTACTTGGAATACCAGCCATTAAGACAGCCATAATTTCTGGATTTTAGAATACAGCAAAAAGTTGATACAACTGTGTTATAGTTGTGAAGATTTTATAAACCCGATTCAGTCCAAGGTCGGCTGTTTGGATCAGACTGAGAATCCGTCAGACACAGGCATTCCAATGTGGAGCTCCTGCGATGTGCTTTCAGAAGTTTTGAAAAGTTGTTCTATCAGCGACTTCTCGGTGCATGCATACGTTTGGCGGCCATGACTAGGGAGCCGCCCCACCATTGTTGAGATATCGCAATGCCAGGAAAGTCAGTAGGTCAAGGACTTGTGTCATGTGTCCTACAAACACATACTGAAAGGGCTCGGGTGCTTCAGCGTACGATATTCGCAATTGCGAGGGGACCTTATTTTGATTTACCATATTGAAAGAGACCCAAATAAATAGTGTCTTCATCTACCGGAGGTCAGCCACAACAGCCAGGTGAGAGTCTGGAATAGCATTATAATCATTTGGAAAGCCGTCGTAATTGCTTCTATGTATATATTCGTTCAGAATTAAATACCTTTCGGGTATCTGTCGTCGGTGCTGGCACGCTGGTGGAGTTCAAAGCTTGAGTTGAGCGTAACTCATTGCCCATGACAAACACGAGTACCTGTCCGAGATTTCACTAACGGTCAGATCACAGGATACGTTTCACATTTTTCGCTATCTGCACATTTCCTTCCGGAGGTGACATGACTTAGAAAGACGTCTTATTTGTCGTGAACCTTCATGGATTTATAGCGGATTTACAGATTTTAGAGCATATATCTCATTGAGTCCACCGGTGTGAACTTACTCAGCAAACACCTATTCCATATTTTGTGATATTCAGGATGACCATTTTATTCGGCCTTTTAGCTTTCGTTTGTCGGCTCGTATTTAACCATTTTCTTTCTTGTTTCCTTATAACCATAGATCACACATGCCGGTGGTTAGGTGGTGGTGGTGGAACATAAGAGCCCCAACTCATATTAACCTTGGGAGGAAAATGTCCTCCAAGATCATTTAAATAAAGTAGATCCTCCTTGATCAAGCGCATGCTAATAGCAAAATATCCGAAAATTTTCCGAAGTTCATGACTCTATCCTAAGCGGGTATTTGAATATTTCCGTCTCATAGTGGCACTCAGACATATGATCATGTATACCCTGATTTTCTTTCTTCACACTATGAAACTAACCCGCAGGACTGCATTATTCGTGATGTATTTACAACCTTAAATTCCACATTGATCTGACAGACGATATCATAAACACCCCCGCCTACGTTCACCGAAGTTAAAATACTACTATTTAGTACGTCGGCATAAAAAAATGATTGGGTGTATGCTAGTGTAATCCGCATCTCCATACGTAATTAAGAGAGAATTCTGTACAGCTGACGATGGAAACTTTCACTAGGTTTATTTCTGACGGACGTTTAGTAATTTTCGTTCAGAAACCCGCATAATATTTGCGACAATGATCATGCGACGTGAAGTTTCAAGTGCCTTTTTTCTGTGCGACAAGTGGACTATAGTTGTCGCGTTAAAAATTCCGCTTGAACAACTTGCCCCGTAAAAACACTTACTTCGTTGGTCAATTAAACCTGCTAAATTCGGAAAACCTACGAAGCATAGACTATTTGTACACGCCGTTTCAGCTGATTCATTTGCTTGAGATTATCGTCCGTAAAGATGTTTTGCATACATGCCTTGAGTAAAACAATCCAGTATTTACATGGTATCAGAGAAAATGAATGATCTACTAACTACCGAATATTTAGATTTTATTTTAAAAAAAGTCACAGGCTATCGCTGCAGAGGCATTAATGAAGCCATATTCTTTCAGATATTTGGCTGATGCTTCTTTACTGCTTTTGTTTTGAAATATAGCGATATGGTGGAGGAAACAAGAGCAGAATAAATTTAATAATATACAACCGTAACTGACAAATAAGGAGGTAAACCCATAAAAAAATAAAAAAGACATTTGATACCTAGTTCTGATGGCCTGTTTACTGTCTTGCCATACAGGCACGGAGCCAATTGGAGCATGGAAATGCGGGTGAAATCCATCGTGGAAATACCCTGCAGGGAAGCAAGTCCCCTGGGGACAGTTCCATGAATGACTGTATAACTTTACTTGAACTTTCCGTGAAATCTACATTTATTATTGTTCCCAGTTTCTGTATCTCTCTACTTTTTCCAAACTGCTAATCAATTCAAAAACCCATATGGGAACCAATGATCAAAAGACGAATAATTAACTATATTATGCGATCACGTTGTACATGTTGATAAGACCACCTAATTGGTCTGTGCCTCGCACTGCTGCGGAATAAAACGTTTATTTATTTATTTATTTAGGAAAGCGTTCACATGAATATGAAGAACCCATCACCGTGATCTTTTCAGCATACTCAATTCCCTTCATCCCTTAGTGCATCTGTACTGCTTACATGATCTTAGCATATAGTTGGACACCTTTGTAACATGCCAAAAACACATATCATGGTAATCTCCCTTACATCCAACGACGTCATCCGTGAAACACGAATGCGTACTTGCTGGTCTGTCCCTATGCAGGAACAGACGCTTGCACTATCCACTAATAAAAGGTTATTTATTGATTAATGTATCCATCGCAATTTGCAATTAGCATACACGCAAGTCATAACCAAACTGTCACGCGGAGGTCCAACCCATCTGTAATAAACCCAACGGACTAGTGTTGAGAATTTTGCATGTAATGCAGATCAGGGAGCCATCTGTGTTTTCAGGTGTTTTATCTGTAGCCAAAAGAAGAAAGGTTTGACTCCAAGTTTAACCATGGATCGCACAGCCTACAGTTCTAACACAATAAAACAATATTGCGCCTTAGAATGGATTATACACTACCAGTCAACAGAAGTTCACTAATTAGGGTTACTTAAATGGTGTAGTTACCGTTCCCAAACTGGTTAAAAATTAGTACGGTTACCAGGGTCACCGTGGAACAAGAATGGGCGCCTATAAGTAGCTGGCAGATTCACCAACTTGCAGCATAAACCCAGCATTGCTCCTCATCTGTCCTGTAACTCAGTCGTGCAAAACAACTGCTAATTCCCTCAAAAGGTGGCATTTTGTTGTGAACACAAAGTATAGAAGTAAAAAACCAGTTTACTGATTGAGAATACACTGAAAAATGGACATCTGTCAGTTAGAAACTTTGAAACACTGGGATATTTTCTAGAAAAGTGTAAATTTGTTCTTAAATCTTGCTTCTCAACGATATTCAGTCGGATGGAATAATTAACGATCGAATCTGATTGACGTCGGTAGAGTGGTTAACTGAGTCACGCCGTTGATTGGTAATGGACAAGCTGACTCCACGACCACCATTTAGATAGCAAACAGTAGATTCGAACACATTTTCTGTAGTAGTTGAAGTTTTCTAACTTGTTTATGGATGTACTCCGAAGATGCGTCCTCGAGATAATTCTGCTCGTTTTTATCTGCATTGCCTATCTGCCACCGGCTTGTATCTAAGACAAAGCAATCGAGGTCTAACTTCGTCTGTCTCTCAACGGATGTTTTCACGTTTATCATTTGCGGGAACACTGGCAAAACGTCAGATAACTTCACTCTGTTTAAAGTTCGGACGGAGAGACTTGTAACGGGGTAACCTACTATCTATCTAACTCCACAAGGGGCCCAACAATTTAAGCACCGAGGCGTCTCGTTGTTATTATTTTCTTCGGAACCTTTTGGAGTAGCCACTTATCATTTATATTTCTAAGTCAGATAGTCCTCTAC